CCTTCTCTCTAGACTCTCTTTCTATATTTATCTCTCTTTGTAAATTAACTCCGTCGGCGACGCCCGCAAGTCTACCGTAAGATTTCTTCAGGAGCTATTCGTCTGAAGGATGGGAGCCGACATCGCAGAAAACGAGTTGAAGAAATTGGAATACCTCTCGCTAATTTCTAAGGTATGTTCTGAGTTGGAGGCGCATTTAGGGTTTGGTGATAAGGTTCTAGCTGAATTTATAACTGAGCTTGGTAGAAATTGCTTAACAGTAGATGAATTTGATGACAAATTGAAAGAAAGTGGTGCTGAAATGCCCGATTATTTCGTAAAAACATTGCTCACTATAATCCATGCTATTTTGCCGCCTAGTGCCAAGTCCAAGTCGGAGAAGGAGTTGAACAAGGATGGCAATGATTCCGAGTTTTCAGCTCTGAAGATCAGAGATAATAGGGATAGAGTTAAGGAATTGGAGAAGGAGATTGAGTTGGAGGCTAATAGTAAGAGGAGAGATGGGGAGGGAGAAGAACGGGATAGGAGGCGAGAGAGCGATAGAGATTATAGAAGAGAAAGGGGTAGAGACAGGGATAGGGATAGGGGTAAGGATCGAGATAGAGATGATGGTAGAGCTGAACGTAGGGCTTCAGAAAGGCGCAGAGACAGGGATGGAGATGGAGATGTATATGAAAAGGGTAGGAGAGATGATTATGAGCAAGACGGGGATGATGATCGGAGGGATAGGAGAAAATCGAGGCATCATGTGGATGAGCCAGAGTTGTATGCAGTATATAAGGGGAGGGTATCAAGGGTGATGGATTCTGGTTGTTTTGTTCAGCTGAATGAATTTAGAGGGAAAGAAGGCTTGGTGCATGTTTCACAACTTGCTACTAGAAGGGTTAGTAATGCCAAAGATTTAGTAAAACGGGACCAGGAGGTTTTTGTGAAGGTTATCTCTATTAGTGGGCAGAAGCTGAGTTTGTCAATGAGAGATGTTGATCAGAATACAGGAAAGGATCTGCTTCCATTGAAGAAGAGCGCAGGCGATGGTGGATTGACAACAAATCCTTCAGGCATGAATAATGAGGGCTCTAAGACCAGGATTGGCCTGTCAGGAATCAGGATTACGGAGCAAGAGGATGTAGCTCCATCACGTAGACCTGTGAAGAGGATGAGTTCACCTGAAAGGTGGGAAGCGAAACAACTTATTGCTGCAGGTGTCCTGGGGGTCCAGGAACATCCCATGTTTGATGAAGAAGGGGATGGAATGCTATATCAGGAAGAAGGTGGTGTTGATGAAGAGCTTGAGGTTGAATTGAATGAAGATGAACCCCCTTTCTTGCAAGGGCAGAGTCGTTATTCAGTTGATATGTCTCCTGTCAAAATTTTTAAAAATCCTGAAGGATCATTGAGTCGTGCTGCTGCACTACAATCAGCTTTGATAAAGGAGAGAAGGGAAGTAAGGGAGCAGCAACAGAGAACGATGCTTGATTCTATCCCAAAGGATCTCAACAGACCATGGGAAGACCCAATGCCAGAGACAGGTGAGAGGCATTTGGCACAGGAGCTGAGGGGTGTTGGTTTGTCTGCCTATGACATGCCAGAATGGAAGAAAGATGCTTATGGTAAAGCCGTGACCTTTGGCCAGAGGTCTAAGCTATCCCTCCAGGAGCAGAGGCAGAGTCTTCCTATTTACAAATTGAAGAAAGAACTGGTTCAGGCTGTCCATGATAACCAGGTCCTAGTCGTCATTGGTGAGACAGGTTCTGGCAAGACAACACAGGTGACACAGTATCTAGCCGAGGCAGGGTATACAACGAGGGGAAAAATTGGCTGTACTCAACCTCGTCGAGTGGCTGCGACATCAGTCGCTAAGAGAGTTGCTGAGGAGTTTGGTTGTCGATTAGGTGAAGAGGTTGGTTATGCTATTCGTTTTGAAGATTGTACTGGGCCAGAAACTGTTATCAAATATATGACTGATGGTATGCTTTGGAGGGAGATCCTGATTGATGATAATTTGTCCCAGTATTCAGTCATAATGCTTGATGAAGCACATGAAAGAACGATTAACACTGATGTTCTCTTTGGTTTGCTTAAGCAGCTTTTGAAGAGAAGACCTGACCTTCGTCTAATTGTCACATCTGCAACTTTGGATGCAGAGAAATTTTCTGGTTATTTCTTTGACTGCAACATCTTTACAATCCCAGGAAGAACTTTTCCAGTTGAGATACTCTACACAAAGCAGCCAGAAAGTGATTACCTTGATGCGTCTTTAATTACTGTCATGCAGATCCACTTGACAGAACCTGAAGGTGATATCCTCCTCTTCTTGACTGGTCAAGAGGAGATTGATTATGCTTGCCAGTGTCTCTATGAGAGGATGAAAGGACTAGGTAAAAATGTTCCTGAACTGATCATACTACCTGTCTATAGTGCCTTGCCCAGTGAAATGCAGTCCAGAATTTTTGATCCTGCCCCTCCTGGGAAAAGAAAAGTTGTTGTTGCTACAAATATTGCTGAAGCTTCTTTGACAATTGACGGTATATATTATGTTATTGATCCTGGATTTGCAAAGCAAAATGTCTACAATCCAAAACAGGGTCTTGATTCACTTGTTATTACCCCAATTTCACAAGCATCAGCAAAGCAACGAGCAGGGCGTGCTGGACGAACTGGACCTGGGAAGTGCTACCGTCTGTATACTGAGAGTGCATTCCACAGTGAAATGTCTCCTACTGCAGTTCCAGAAATCCAGAGGATAAATCTTGGGAACACCGTTATTATGATGAAAGCAATGGGTATTAATGATCTTTTGTCATTTGATTTCATGGACCCACCTACCCCTCAGGCTCTCATATCTGCCATGGAGCAACTTTACACTCTTGGAGCACTGGATGAAGAGGGGCTTCTGACGAAACTGGGAAGAAAAATGGCAGAATTTCCATTAGATCCTCCTTTGTCCAAGATGCTTCTTGCTAGTGTGGACTTCGGCTGTAGTGATGAGATCTTGACCATTATTGCTATGATTCAAACTGGAAATGTCTTTTACCGACCAAGGGAAAAACAAGCGCAGGCCGATCAGAAGAAGGCCAAATTTTTTCAGCCTGAGGGTGATCATCTGACCTTGCTTGCTGTTTATGAGGCTTGGAAAGCGAAAAACTTTTCAGGTCCATGGTGTTTTGAAAATTTTGTCCAGTCACGATCACTTAGGAGGGCACAGGATGTCAGAAAACAGTTGCTCTCCATCATGGACAAGTATAAATTGGATGTTGTGAGTGCCGGAAAGAACTTCGCAAAGATCCAGAAGGCAATTGGAGCAGGTTTCTTTTTTCATGCTGCTAGAAAGGATCCTCAAGAGGGTTATAGAACTTTAGTTGAGAACCAGCCAGTTTACATTCATCCTAGCAGTGCTCTTTTCCAAAGACAGCCGGACTGGGTTATTTATCACGAGCTTGTTATGACAACAAAGGAGTACATGCGCGAGGTGACCGTGGTAGATCCTAAATGGCTTGTTGAGTTAGCACCAAGATTCTTCAAGACGGCTGACCCAACAAAATTAACGAAGCGCAAGAGACAGGAACGTATTGAACCTCTTTATGATAGATATAACGAGCCAAACTCATGGCGATTGAGTAAACGCCGAGCGTGATATCCTTTTTTTTGTTTATGTTCTGTGTTGGTTTAATGAAATACCCACTGTTTGTTTATGTAAAAGTGACCTATATATGGTCAATCTAAAACATTACTTTTGACACTTGAGCACTTCTTTCATATAAGCCTTTTCCCCACTTGACCTATTACAGTTTTCACTGAAGTGGACTCAAAATTGTTTTAACCTCTCTGTTGTATGCTTTTTGCTAGGGAAATAATCTTTGGTATTGAACTTCAATTTGTTTTCATGTTCGAAGTATGAATGGTTAAGCTTGACTACTTAAGTGCCTTTTGAGTAGAATCAAGTTTAAAGTGGCCCAAACTGGTGACATTTTCAGGTCACTCAAAGGATGAGTAGAATTAATATTTTTTATATGGAACTGTACTGCTGTTAGCATGCTATGGTTACTCGAGCTCAAATGTACAAGAGCTGCAGCTTTTGGGAAATAAAAAGTCTGACAGACTGTAATAGTAAAACTAAATGTTGTGATATACTAATATATATGTTACATAGATCCTTCCACCGTTTTGATTTACCTAAAGTTAATGAAAAGCTTCATGTTCCCATACCAGATAGGTACACACACCTGTATTGAAACATTCCTGCAAACAAGTCCTTGTAAGTTCTAACATAATATAAATGCTACATGTTCGGCCTCTGAAGGTGAAACAACTCTTTGTTTCCTAAAAAATCCCAAATCACGAATAAAAAATGCATTTCTGATTGGTAGGTTGTGATTTCCATCTATTTCAAGGAAATGTATACCGGAAAACCATGTAAATGACAAGAAATGTCTGGGAGTATATGTAGACATGAATAGTCACAGCTAGGCTACATTTCTTCTTTAGCATTTAGATTGTGATCTGATATGTTCTGAAGATATCAATACTTTGACAATTTGGTGGAAGACAAAACCATGTTACTTCAGATGCTATTGTCTTCTGTGGGTGCCCATGAAATAACTCTTCACTATCAGCTGGATTTTCTGAGTTTCCATTTGGCCTATATAAACACATCCAAAGAGGTCTCTACCACCACAGCTCTCAACAAAACTTGAACGTATTCTAAGCTTTTTCTGATTTTGAGGTTTTACTAAAAAAAAATCATGGCTATTCGCATGCCTCGTATAATCAAGAAATCTGTTACATCTGGAGATGTTCCCAAAGGCCATTTTGTTGTATATGTTGGGGAGAATCAAAAGAAGAGGTATGTGATCCCGATATCATTCTTGAGCCAACCTTTATTTCAAGACTTGCTCGGTCAAGCTGAGGACGAATTTGGCTTTGATCATCCAATGGGTGGTCTCACAATTCCCTGCAGAGAGGACATCTTCATCGACCTCACTTCTCGATTAAGGAACTGAAAAAGAAAACTTTCTTAACAGTCTGTAGAGTAGTAAAGAAGGATACACAAATCTGTATAGAGAATACAACTTTTGATGTTAGATTAGGTAGATTTAGTGAAACTTTTGATGTTAGACTAGGTAGATTTAGTGAAACTTTAGCTCCACAAAGACTGATTGTTAGTCCATGTCAAAGGACAAATGACTTGCTTTTTTCTACTTCAAAGAAATTGAAGTATTGAATGAATGATGGTTCTATTCAGTTAGTATTGAATTTTTTTCTCCTTGTGATTCTCTAATTCCTCTCATTGAATATCTGCGCCAAAGTCTCATGTGTTGCTAGTCATTATGAGTCAGAATCAAGTTTAAAGTGGCCCAAACTGGTCACATTTTTGGGTTAGACAAAGGATGAGTAGAATTGAAATTTTATCTGGAATTATGCTGATGTAAGCCACTATGATTACTCTAGCTCAAATGTACTAAAGCTGAAGCTTTTGGGAAGTAAGAAGTCCAACTGAGTGTCATATAGAGAAACTAAATGATGTGATAACATTTATGGTACATAGATCCTTCATCCGTATTGATGTACCTATGAACAGGCGTCACATAGGATAGCTATTGGTACTTAAATGAAGATTGTTCAAAATACTCTTGATATTAACAAAGAACTGCATGTTTCCATACTGGTTTAATTGCACACACTTGTATTGGAACGCTCCTGCGAACAAGTCTTTGTAACTTAATTTAAAAGCTACAGGTTCAGCCTCTAATTAAAAATCTGCACGAATGCATTTCTGATGGTCTTCATCTGGAGTACTTCCTTAATGTGAAAGCTTTTGTGTCCTATGACCTAACTGAAGAATCACATCTAGCTTGAACATAGGTCTTCATTGTTCTTATTTGACCGAAATGTCAGAATATAAGATAATAATATTATTTTCATATGCAGGACACATGGTTCCTTTGGTACATGTTATTATGTTTAGAGTTTATCAAATTCTCATATCTACATAGCTACTTACAGAATCATTTTTCACTTAAGGAGCTCCTGGCTGGCTGCAACACAAGTTAACAGTATCCACAAGCCAAGCTGTCATCATTGACTTGTCTGGTATTTCTGAAACCTCCACTAATTTTTTTTTACCCAAGTTGTAAGATTAGACAAATATTTTGGATTAAATTCAGGATCAGGTTAAGAAGCATCTGGACATCCCACTTCCATTGTTCTGTTGGTATGTAGTGGTGGATAATCCATATATTTTTTAGAATAAATAATTCTTGGAACGCAACGTTAAAGGTAGGGCCTGTTGTCTTGAGTTGATGTGACCTAAGTCACCAATACATTGGCAATGAGTTGAAAGCAAAACCATGTTACTTCAGGTGCTATTGTCTTCCATGGTACCCACAGAATAGTGATTAACAGGACTCTCTTAGTTGCCATTGTCCTATATAAACATTTTCGAGAAGGTGTCTACCACTACAACACTCAGCAAAACTTGAAAGTATTCAAAGCTTTCTCTGCTTTTGAGGTCTTCAGTATTTTTTTCTTTCTTTTCTCATCTATACTAAAACTAAATATAATGGCTATTCGTATGCCTCGTATAATCAAGAAATCTGGAGATGTTCCCAAGGGATATCTTGCTGTGTATGTTGGGGAGGAGCACAAGAAGAGATTTGTAATCCCCATATCATTCTTGAGCCAACCTTTATTTCAAGACTTACTCAGTCAAGCTGAGGAAGAATTTGGTTTTGATCATCCAATGGGAGGTCTCACCATACCCTGCAGAGAGGACATCTTCATTGACCTTACTTCTCGTTTGAGAAACTGATGAAACTTTCTTTCACATTTTTGTAGAGCAGCAAAGCAGGATTTGCAGTCTGTACACTTAGGATTTAGAGAAAATAGTAGTTGATGTAAGAATGAGAGTTGTTACTAAAGTCTGACTAGGTAGATTAGTGAACTTATCTCTGTAAAGGCTGATTGTCATTCATGTCATGTCAAAGAGATGAATAACACTTCATTTTTTTCTACTTCAAAGATATCGAAGTATTGAATCTTTATCACTTTATTGTTCCATTCAGTTTGCGTTGATACTTTTTCTCCTTACGATTCCATATGCTCACGTCCTGTGGTTTGGTAACGTTTACGGACCAGAATCAAGTAACTTGACCACAACCAGGCACTCTGTTGTGTTAGTCAAATAACAAATACACCTGGAATTATACATAGAAATTAGAAACTAAGCTACAGTTAGAAAAATAACAGATAATAAGCGCAACCATTGCTCTACAGCTTCCTATTAAAATGGGAAGTTAGGAACTTAGGATCTCGAAAGAGCTTTGCTTACAAAGAATGAGTCTCTTTATTCAAGTTACTCATCCTTCATATGGAGTAGTTAATGTACTTAATAAATGTTTTAACCCACCAAACTAGAGGAAGTTCAGCTAGCGTTTGAGTCTAACAACCTTCAGCAGATGCACATCTGAGCTCCTTTTATTCTTTTTCTTTGTTCTTTGTTCTTATTTAACCAAAAGTTGAGAATTTCCTGTCAGGGTATAAGATGTTGTTTCACATGTCTCATATCTAGAGAGCTGAGTTATTCTAACGTCATTTTTTACTTAAGGACTTGCTGGCAGGCTGCTATACATAATACAAGCTAACTTAGCTGTGTTCACATGCCAAGCTGTCAGCATTGTTTGATATGCTTGGAATCATAACGCTTCAGAATTTGCTATGTTCAGATATATTGAGCATTTTATTGTGAGTGATAGGGCCTGTTGTCCTTGAACTAAGGCCTAATGTTAATTTGGTGTTTTAAGTATTGACAAAGGTAGGCCTCTCCCATGTTACCTTTTGTTTTTGATAATAAGAGAGGACATTTTTGTGTTTTCAGAGTTTGTTTTTATCCTAGTGATTCAGGAAAATATAAGCTCTAGGTTCGGAATCTTATTTACAACAACAACAACAACAACCCAGTAAAATCCCACTAGGTGGGGTCTGGGGAGGGTAGAGTGTACGCAGACCTTGCCACTACCTCGTGCGAGGTAGAGAGGCTGTTTCCGGAAGACCCTCAGCTCAGGTCGGAATCTTATTTAAAAATTCCAAAATGAGGATGCCTTGCTCAAGTTGAAAGCAATGGTAGGGACTGCTGTTCTTGAACTAACAGTGTCTTAATTTAATTCACCTGGAAGGCAAAAGCATGTGATACTTCAGTGACATTGTCTTCTGCTGGTGCCCACAAATTTATTTTCAACACATAACAGGATTCTATGAGTTGCCATTGCCTATTTAAACACATTCAAAGAGGTGTCTACCACCACAACTCTCAGCAAAATTTGATAGTATTCAAAGCTTTCTTTGCTCTTGAGGTCTTTGATACATATTCTTTCTTTGTTTTCTCATCTATATTAAAACTAAAAGATCATGGCTATCCGTATGCCTCGAATAATCAAGAAGTCTTCAGATATTCCCAAGGGTCACTTTGCTGTGTATGTTGGAGAGGAACAGAAGAAGAGATTTGTGATTCCGATATCATTCTTGAGTGAACCTTTATTTCAAGATTTGCTTAATCAAGCTGAGGAAGAATTCGGCTTTGATCATCCAATGGGTGGTGTCACAATTCCCTGCACCGAGGATTTGTTTGTTAATCTTACATCTCGCTTGAGGAAGTGATATGAAAACCAATCCCCATTCTTTTGCTTACACAATTTTGTAACTATGTTAAGCAGGATTTTCAGAGTGTACAGTTCAGGAGTTAGAAAAAACAGTAACTTGACGTTAGAATTAGGGGAGTCTAACTAGGTAGACTAATGAATTTAGCTCCATAAAAGAATGGAGATGTAATACCCTTTGTGTCTTGATTAAGTTGACACTTTTCTACTTCAAAGGAAATTGAAGCAATGATAGTTTTTTACTTCTATGGTTCCATTCAATTCCTTATATTGATTGAATAACTCATTGCAATATAAAAATTCTGTGTACAATGAGCTTGTTGATCGGTTTTCTTTGTTCTTATCTGATCCAAGATCTTAAGCATTTCCATTCCTGATTAAAATGTGTAAGTTAATTTACTTATAATAAGATATGGCATCTGTACTTTTCTTGAATATTGAATACAGATATCTGGCAATAACAAGATTATGACTTACAATAATGGAAATTTGGAAATTGTAGCCTTCTGTATTCTCTGTTATTTGGAAACATTTACTCTGCTGAGATAATTTGAGTAATTATTATCTAGATAGTTGATCGTGCATAATGACTTAGCATGAGGGACCAAACAACTTTGTCAGATATTGCTGTAAATTCATTTCTAATTGTAGAGTTGTTGAATTACAAGACAATTACACATGGTTATAATTTGATCAAAGATCATGTGTTAGACAATTACCTTTTATCTATTCGATTTCTAAAGATCCTCTGTTCTCTATCTAGTCTGTGGCCTGCTGTTCTTCAGGCACAATGGCCTAAAATCATATATACTTGACAATGAGTTGAGTAGCAAAACCATGTGATACTTCATGTGCTATTGTCAATCAACAGTACAACAAATGCCTCTCCACCAGTTAAAATCTTATATATGATTGATTTGTTTTCTCTTATAAATGGACACATGACAGTTTGCATCTGGGGTATGTTACAGTCCTAGTGGATAGTGTTCCAGACACAAATCATCACAAGACACCACCATTTTTATGGATTTGATTCTGAGAGATCCTTTGTTCCATGTATGAGAAAAAAGGTAGGACCTATTGTTGTTGAACTTATATGAGCTATAATGTTGTCAATTAGTTGGAAGACAGAACCATGTGGTAATTGATATATCATTGTCTTCACCACAAATAATGAGATTTTATGACTTGCCATTTGCTTATATAAACTTGTTTTGCGAAGTTGTCACCACCACAACTCTCCACAAAACAAAGAATACTACTTGAAGCTTTTCTCTTCTTTCAGGATCTTAAAGTATTCTTTCTCTTCATACTTTGCTCATCTTAAATTAAAGATCATGGCTATTCGTGTACCTCGTATAATCAAGAAGTCCTCGACATCCCTAGAAGTTCCCAAGGGACATTTTGCTGTTTATGTTGGGGAGAAGCAGAAGAAGAGATTTGTGATACCAATATCATACTTGAGCCAACCTTCATTTCAAGACTTGCTAAGTCAAGCAGAGGAAGAATTTGGCTTCGATCATCCAATGGGTGGTGTCACAATTCCCTGTCCAGAAGACATTTTTATTGCCATCACTTCTCAGCTTAGGATTTAAGAACATAGTTAAGATCATTTTTTCTTTTTATAGGTCTCACAATTTTGTATACAAATTAAAGCAGGAGATCCATATTGTACAGTTGATTAGTTACAAGTTAAATGAGACTTAGCACCACAAAGATTGGTGCTTTTTGACTAATTCAGAGAATACAAATACCTCATTTTCTCTAACAAAAATTGTGTTTCCTGGTTTATGTTTTAACAGTTTTACTTCAATCAGTTATCAATTGGCCTGCAATATGCCCTAGACTATCTAATATAGCTCCAAGCATATATTAACAACAACATACCTAGTGTAGTCCCATAATGTGGAGTCTCGAGAAGTAGAGTGTAAGCATATCTTACCTCTACCTCGGAGGTGGAGCTCCGAGTATCTACAACTTTATTTATCTATTGCTATTAACAATATAATATTAGATTGGGTTATCTACAAGGGGAACTTATTAAAACTAAACATGCCAAAATATGACTTTGTTTTTTAATCTTATTTCTTGGTAGGACATAAAACATATATATGTCGTGAAGTGTTGAATAGAAAGGATTATGCCTTATATTTAGGGTATATGCGTGAAAAGGGATCTTAGACTAAGTGTATTTTGACACTAACAATGAATAGAAATGCTATAAACTAGTCCAGCTCGATGGATAAACATACAAATATATATTTTTAAAAAGAAAAGTAAAAAAGTAGTTAATTTAGGAAGCTTTATACATATATAACCCACCAATGAACATACTTTTTCATGAAAAAAAAACATAACTTGGAGAATTTTTATCATTATGGATGCTACTAGTGGAAATGTTCTAGGGGATGAAGAAAGTCAGCTTTCTTTTGGAAGTAGTAATAAAATTCAACCTACTATCTCTTTTACACAAAAGCAAGTATCCATGTTTTCTTTTTAAATTCTTCCCTCACCACTATCCATGATAAGCCTCAAAGTATATTTTATCTTCTTTTTTTGGTTTGATATCTTTTCAATTTGTTCTTACATATATGTATGGTGTTTGGCTTCTTTTTTTAACAGCTTAGATGATGAAAAGAAGAAATATACTTGTCTCACAATGGCTGAAAGGCTGGGCTTGCCAGACTTCTTCTCTTTGGACGTTAGTATATTTCATCTCTTACTCATCTTTTATATGACGGTATTGACTAAGCACAGAGTTGACTATTTTTTTTTATGTAGGTGTGGCGAGCATCAGTTGGAGAGCTTTTAGGCTCTGCGGTTCTTGTTTTTATGTTGGACACCATAGTGATTTCCACCCTAGAAAGTGATGTCAAAATGCCAAATTTGATTATGTCAATTCTCATAGCAATTACACTCACCATTCTAATCCTTGCTGTTTTTCCTGTGTCTGGTGGCCACATTAGCCCTGTAATTACCTTCTCATCTGCACTTGTGGGACTAATATCAATGTCACGAGCCATAATTTACATAGTGGCACAATGTATTGGTGCTATATTAGGTGCACTAGCACTCAAAGCTGTGTTGAGTAGTACCATTGAACAAAGATTCTCTCTTGGTGGTTGTACCGTTACGGTAGTTACGCCTGGGCTCAATGGGCCGGAGATTGTGGGCTTGGAGATAGCCCAAGCATTTTGGCTCGAGTTTATGTGTACATTTGCTTTGCTTTTTGGTTCACTTTGGATGGCCTATGATCATCGCCAGTCCAAGGCACTTGGGCTTATTACTGTCATGTCTATTGTTGGGCTTCTAGCAGGGATTCTTGTGTTTATTTCAACTTCAGTTACTGCTAAAAAAGGCTATGCTGGAGCTGGAATGAATCCAGCTAGGTGCTTTGGAGCTGCTTTTGTTAGAGGAGGCCACCTTTGGAATGGGCATTGGATCTTTTGGGTTGGGCCTGGACTTGCTTGTTTTGCTTTCTACTTCTATATAAAGATCATTCCTTCGAATCATTTCCAAACTGATGGATACAAGTATGATTTCTTAGCGATAATCGAGGCATTGTTCAATCAGAGATAGGCTAGTGGTTTTTGCAAATCATGTACTAATTGCATACAAAATCCCTATCAATGGTAAACATATAACTTGTATCCTTGTCAATTGTTTAGCTAGCATTTAATCATTCGCTCAAAAATAGCCACTCAACATCACAAACTGCACATAGAACAACCGGTGGCACTTCCACTGCTCCATGCATAGTCCAATTGATGAGCACAGATTCTGCAGGAACGGTTTGTATGCTTTCTTCTTGCTTCTTTCTCCTCTGGCATCAAAAATTCACCAGACCAGTTTTCCAATTTTCATTACAAAGTCAACTGGCAGCTACAGCACTCTGTTGTATCACGGTGATTAACTAAACCAGACCATCAATTCATTAATTAATTGAGATGCCTAGTTTCATTAGCCCTCCTTGAACTTCTCCTAATCTAAGGACAAATCGCCAGTTCGAATAGTACGCTGCTGATGGCTTATTCCTTTTCGTAGCCGTGTCTGGGAGAAGCTGAAATCTGTCTGTTCCCAACTAAAAGGGGATTCGAGCTTTGGCTGGAACCATCTTTTCACAATAACACCATTGATTCGAATCTTCCCAAACGATTCGTTCCCTTGGTACGGCAGGCCAAGCCTCCTCAAAAGTGCTGCAACTGCCCTGTTGATCCTGTTGACCAAATAAGAGAATTTTGAATGTTATGTGAATCGTACAGCTCTTAGAATGAAATAAACATACTGGAGCTCATGAAGGATGAATTCCATAATAGGCTTAACTTTGAATGAAATGTTATTCACTTTTTCCAAATGGGGTTTCTTTTTTCGCCAGTTAGTGATATCTTGGTTTCTATCATAGTGCTCGCTGGGCATGAGAAATGTTAAACTAAAAATAGTAGCTTAATATGCATCAGCCATGCCAGAAATGCAAGACTTGTATACTGCCAAATTAACATTATTTTCTCAGTCTTACATTTGTCCTTTCTGTGTCCTGCTATTAATGTTATTTCAGAAATATATTTTTGAACTAGATGATTTACTTTTTCTCATGTCATATTACTTACAGTTACTGGTATATATCTTAAAATAAGAAGTTGTACAAAGAAGGAAATTTCTTCAAGAAAAGAGCTCTCATTACCTTCCAGCAATCTTAATTGTTTTCTCGCCAGTGGGCGTCTGAATATGTGACTGCTCTACAGGGAGTAGAATGGATATGTTCGGTATTTTTGCACCTGCAAGATTTTCCATCATTACAAGAGATGCTAAACAATAAACATAAAGCAACACATTCTCATAGTAAAGATATTTCACGTCTTGTGATCTTTCTATATTCCCTCTCTTTTATGATTATTGATAAGGAAATAAAGAAGCTTTTACTCTCTTTATCTTTTATAATGATAAAGTTTTGCCCTTAGCATTAACTTCATTCTTGTAAAATAACTACATTCTTGCGAATTACTCACAAGTGTTCCCTTGAATTCCTATTCTCCTATAAAGTAAAGTACGACAAATAAATTGAAAAAGAGGGAGCACAATATTTGATCTCTAGTATAAAATTTTGCATTACTACTACAAGCAAACCTTATGCGATGCGTTATTATAAGCAGGATAGAATGAAGGATGTGGAATTGTACTATTAAACTTTGCATTACTAATATTAGCAAACCTTATGTGATGTATTAAGGAAAAAAATGCATGCATTAGTAATACTTAACTAAGAGCACCTAAAGACAGAAAATATTCTTTCAAGTAGGCAAAATAGTCTTTACCTGCAGCCAAACGATGCTTGAGACTCTTTAGGACAGTCAAAAGATATACCTGGTTAATTTTCAGAGAGAAAAGAAAACTATCAAACAAAGTATTAGCAACAGAATTGTTGTGAAAATGGACGGTATTTTTCAACTTCCTAAATCTTAAAAACTATTAGGAATCCTGAAAAAGAGGGAAACATAAAAACAGAAAAAGAGAGAGACCTTTGCAGCCAAGTAGGATAAACTCCTATTATTAGTAACTGAGACCGATTAAGCTCGTCAAGCATAAGAATATTCTCGTGTGGTTACAATTGAAAAGAAAAATTAAATACTTATTTACTGCCCATTAAGACAAGCTTACCTGAGCTGCATGAATATGCAAATTCCTCACATCGACAACAATAGGGCTTCCCTTAAAGGAAGTCAATGGGACGATTCCAAGTGAAGCTGCCTCCTAAGAAACAAAAAATATGTGAGATAATCCACCATAATAACCAATAAGATGAAGTTGTAAACCTGATAAAAGACAACTAAGATAAACCACGGACCTCAAGCAATGAACAGGCACGGGGATCATATTCACCAAATCCATCAATCAAAGAGCAAAGATTTGAGCCTTTTGATGTTTCCACGGTTAATCCTAGATTTTCAATAAGTCTTTCTTTTAGGGATGCATCACAAGGAAGCTGTAGGCAACCCAGAACTAGTGATAGCTCCTCAATTGTGGGTACCACACCAGCTCCAATTGTTTCCCTGTAGACCATTAAGGCCAACGATGTCCTGCAAACCAATTAAGAATTTCACAACTATGTGTACCACGTCTTTTAACAAAGCCAGCATTCATATAATTAACTTTAGTGACATCTTTTATGTTTGGACTAGGCACAAGCAATCCAGTCCCCCTTGAGCCTGAAGGGAATATCCACTCAAGAAAAGAAAATTCTTAAGATAATTCCTCACTGTATACCAAATTTCCCTGAAATATGCTAGACAAATCAAAATGGCAATCAG